GGCTATAGTAACACAAACGACAGAATGCGCGCCCTATGTAAATGTGAACAGCACCCATTGACCGTCGAGAACAATTATTGTCCTAACAGGAAGAGCATCTCTCCATCATCTTGGCGCATTATTGTCGGTCCTTTTCGGCCTACTGCAATTCGAGGACTCATCGATATGATTCCAGCGGCAATTCGACTGGAGCGGCTGACTGCCCTTCGCACAATGGCGAGTGCAGAGAGCACGCATGATGACTGTGGGAGAATACGCTGGACCCATCTCCTCAGAAGAAGCTTTTCACTGACTGTTGCTTCTACTGCTGAAGCTATCGCTCTTGGAACCGCCGCAGTGGTGATGACATGCTTAATCCACTTCATATCGGCATAGAAGTAACAGCGTGCAACCTCGATATCGCTGAAGTCGATCTGACTGACTCTGAAGTCCCGTAATAGAGGCGATGCCATATAATATTAATTCATATAATAGACATCAAGCTAATGTTGAGTTTAATACACTTGCAAATATTTCGTTTAGCAAAGTAAGAACGCGACTAGTCAACGATAAGAGCCCACAAGGCGTTCCTGCTAGCGAGAGGAAATGCATGTACAAATATAGTGCACAAGGTATGATATTTAGTCGGCTAACCGATACTACACGACTCTAACTATGTCAGCAAGAACTAAGCTATCAGTGCTAATACTAAGACACTCTACGATGTTGACCAGCGAGGGGAAGCCAAGGGGCAGAGAAATGACGGGTGGCTAGTTCAAGTAACAATTTCGCCAGATTTTCTGGGAGTGTGTGTGCGCGCGTGGAATTGGAATTAGACTGACCCGTGCTCGGACTCGGCTGTACGCTCTGGGCGTGAAAGGAAAAAGCGCAAATACGATATACAGTACAATACATAGTATGTAGCAATGGCGGAGGGACGAACCGACCGAAAGGCACTGCTATGAGCAGACGATCAGACTCTGTGGGTTGTCTGGATATATGCGTGTGTATGAGGAACGCTAGGTGGCAGGAGTGATGGCAGGAATACCTGGTGTCGCAGAGTAATTTCCGTGGGAACCCCGAAGGGTAAATAATGATTGACCTCCTAAGCAGAGCAGAGGCTCAGTAAAGAATCAAGCCACCCCCGATTCTCCTCCGTCCTCCCTCGAACAAAGCTGCGTCGAACTTGCTCGCTACTGTAGACTCAACCTTTACCTCCTAGCGGGGGGGACAACTCACAAGGAGTAGGGACAACAGCAAAAGAAGCTTTGGAGGAGCCCCGCGGGGACAAATAGCTGGCGGCTACCCCATTTCGATCGAGATCAAGCAACCGAACCCTTAACGGCTCCGGCAAGCTGAGAGGAAAGGTCAGACAGTGGATAAAGATGAACCAGACATCGACTAAGACGATCTCTATTGGATAACTGCTGAATAGTCTCCAACAACCCTGTATAGCTGGTGCGTACCGGCATTTGTCAAGCGGCGTTTTACACCCAATAAAAAAGACTTTGTAGCTCGTCCGCAAGGAATCGTAAGCTAGGGCTTAAAACATATAAAAGACTCATTGATTCTGTTTAGAAATTCACCTGCAATTGATCACGTGCCTCACGCCTTCTAATAAACAGGTAGTAGATAAAGCAAAATGGTAACAACGTTTGTTATGTTAAATAAACTAGCCGCAACAAACGATTTGTTGAAGACCCTTCAGACATAATGAAACCGTGCCTATACATGCTGTTAGTAGCCGATCCTTACTTTGCAACCTAGAAAGTCTACTAAAGTATATCACAGATTATTCTATATTGGCAAAATTACGTTTCATTGAAAGGTAAATGAATTGACGACAATTAGCATATAGTGGCTTGCTCACTGTAGCATTATTTGTAGTTTCAGAAGCGTATTCGGCCATGGTCTATACCAGCTATATGATACAGCCCTCAGCTCCGCAGCTTTTTATAAGCATTTGTTATAACATTCGTACCGTTTTCTGCGCGGGACCCTGATATAGTCAGTCGTGGCGACACGCCGTTCAGACTGCCAAACTGACGACACTAAGTTTTCTCTAAAATGACAGAGAGATAGATAGAAAGCTAACAACGACGTTGCTTTCCAGTTGGGTAACCTTCAAAGCAAAATCCAAATCAGTTGGCCGGTCTGCTCATTCGCCCTGTTGGTCAGAGGCAGTGGGAATGCGGACTGCCCAGCCTCCCAGAATCCTAAGTATCTGTTCAGCCACTATCCTCTTACTCCGGGTTCACTCCCACTGGCGGGACAACGGAGCATTGGGATGTTCCCAGGAGTTTAGCAGGCGTTGCCGCGAGCCAATACCGCCCCGGAAGATCTGCTTTTCACTAGGCAAATTCGAATGGATGCAGGAATGGCGCGAACTCCTCTGTCTCTGAATTCTATTAGATACTGTGTCGGCATGCTGCTGGCTTCACATCTATTTTGCGCGCAATGGCGGCAGAACTGGCAGTACTTCGACCCAACCCCCTTGAGGGAGAAATCGGTCAGAAGTGCGTTCTTCCTTTTTCTCTCGATATATATATATATATAAGCATGCTTCCTCATTCGGCAGTGGTAATTCTGTAGACTTTTAAGCAACTGACAGCAGGTAGTTAATGACGTTACCAAACGACTGGGTTCAGGACGCCTCGCGCACCCACCCCTTGCCAACAACCCATGCCACTATAATACTTAATGGTTACTTATTCAATACAATGTATTCATATTTGGTCAACCTATTATTGGTTTATAGCAAGCCTAGTGCAATGCAAAATAGCAGCTGTGATTTTTTAAGATTATACATGGATGGCATCGGTTATCGTCGAAATAATGTCACTTCACTTTGTATAGCATAAAGATTTGTAGAGAAAACCGTGTCATATATATATATATATATATCACCAACGCGCAATTTGCTTCACTGATCACTTACAAGTTACACCGTTTGGTCGGTAAGATTTGAAGGAAGTGTTGTTTCCCTATCATATCTGATTAGTCTATCGGACGGCATACGGTTCGCTTGGACAGAGCATCGGATCGGCACAAATTCGCATTGGGGTACAGCCTTTTACCGTTTGCTACCCCACTGCATCAGGTATCAGCAGTACCACTGCAACATCAACGTCGATGTTGCTGCTACACACGGCTGCGGCTTCACGAAGCGAAGATGTTGCCGTCCATAGCTTCTATTTCCTTTCCTTCGTTCCGGAGGCTTGTTCGCCTCTATTGGCTGTCGTCAAAGGAGATGTTTGAAACGAGCTACTGAAACAGCGCTCAGCCACTGAAGGTAACCGAGCGTGAAACTCCGCTGGTCCCCCCGCTACCTCTCTGCTTTCTCAATATCATTCCTTTTTACCTTGGAGCACTTGGGGAAGGGTGCTCCGCGTTAAATCGGAACATTTGTCATCTAAGAAAAATCTCATCGAGGCTTACATCCCAATGTTGAAGCTATGACAAGCAAAGAACTCTCGTTAAAATATAATAGTTGCGTCTGATTGCCATGTAAGTATGCCTTCCCTGTATGAGCATCTACGAAACCGGTAGTGAAAAAACATTCATTGGATTTAAATGGACGTAATCGATTTTTTCAAGCTGTTGTTTAGCCGATTTATACTGCTTCCAAAAGAGTTGGACACTGTCGCTGAATAATAAATCTGTGCACAGAGCTGTCACCAAAAAAACCCAGCAAAACTAAATGAGAGTAACTTTAATGGAACTACAGTATGCTCCCAACTCGTCAAACTTTGATTGTATATTGCGTTTACTGAGATCGTAATGTAAGCGGGTTTAAATACAAGATGCATGTCTATTAATGCAGTTCACGAATAACTAACATTACGTTGTCGAAAAAGCTTCTACCGAGCTCATTCAATAGACAGGTACCTGGTTCTCGTCCTTCTTGACTCGATTGAGCCTTCTTTGCCCATATATCATCTTTTTCACCGTTTCGAAATCAGCATCTTCGAATGTGCGATAATGTTTGACGGAAAAAACAAGCACCAGGGAACCTGCCGCTACTACCGTCTTGCAGAGAAACCTTGCAAACTCAAAAAGCGCACGCAGCGAAATCTCCATTTTAACTTGTTACACATCGTACGCTTCCAATACATGTACACACACACACACACACACACACACACACGCACGCACATACAGACGCCCAACATAGAAATTCACGTACGCTCACATGCACTCTTTACACTTTTATGGATCCGATTCGGAATGAGAAATGTGAGGAGTCGATGACAGAGTGGATATCGGTTCTGGACTCGACGCTATCAACGCATGATCAACATTGCCACCGCGCGGCCTGTCGCAGACGAAGTCAGGCGGAAAGTACGCTTTTGCTCGGCCAACGAACGCTAACACTAAATCGTGTAGTCCACCATATACTCTGCGGTAGCCATAGCAAGCCGTCAGATGCTTGATCGGACACAGTACGAGCGAGCAGATTCAGTAACCGAAAATTAAAAATGGTGGACTGATCGAAAGGTAAAACACTCACAGATGAAGCTAGGCCAGTGATTCAAGTAGGGTGTGCTTCTACAAAACAATTGAACAGCTACAGAGTACTTGTACGGATTTAACTACGCCTCTTATTAATAATAGCCATCGCATTAGATTATCGTGTAGTCAACAATAAGCTCTTGAACTCTATGTGGCGAGCAATGTCCTACGAACAGGATCCTGGATAATCGCAACTGGCAGAGCAGAGTGGAGAGGCATCTAAATTGAAATCAGGCCAAAATAGGCTCTTTAATTCGACTGCCGAATCGTAGATCAAAGAATCAGAAAGCTAACTCGGAAATCCCTCCATCGCCTTTCTTTTTTTTGTAGCAAATCATTAGCGGATTTTAGACATTGGAAGTGTTTCTAATGAATCAAGAAGGAAAAGATAAATTTACTTAACTTTAACTCCTCTAAATAAGAAGGTATTTCGACAAGGGGACTTTCATAGTTGCTCTTCTAGTGTTTCACTGTTGGTGGAAAGATGCCATATCTTGTATTCGACTCACCGATCGTAATCGCTCTTGCAAAAAATACGTCGATCTCGAGAGTAGCACGAGGTGTCCAAATGCTGGTGACAAACTGAGCACACGAGGCACGATTCGTGCCACGAGCTCTCTCGAACCTTCATGATGTACCGGTCAACAATGGGGCGCTCACAGCCGGAGCACGCTTCCAGCCGGTTGGCTCCATCAGCTGGGTTTTGTAGGTTCAGGATTCCTAGACGTTCACAGGCGTATATGAAAACGAATCGTCGATTAGTTGAGTTAAAAATAGCTGTTTGGCATTCTAATGTGTTTCGCTGTTCGAACATTGTTGAATTCGAAGATATATGAAAAAAGATAGAAATAAACTCGTGCCTCTTTCATGCTGCTAACACATAAAAGTACTAGAAAATCCTCTAGCTCATTTGCTATCAGGTGGTGTACAGAATAATATAGACCAAATTCAATTGAATATCCAACATTATTATTACTCAAATACTATATAACTGTAGCAAAGGAACCTGAGCGTTTCACTATGATCGCACTGTGAATCCTCGACGGCACGATCATATCTGTATATGATGAAACGATAGTAAATGTATTGACCCTTTATTATACCTCGCTTCACTGGTCCTTTGCTATAACCCAACTTGCCTAAAAAAGTTAAATACTCCTTTGCAGTTTTTACACCGCGAGCATATTTACTTTGTGGTCTCTTATCATGATCGATCAAATCATCGCCACTCACTGAAGACTATATGTTGACATATCGGTACGTGTAAACAGTCCAACAATACATTTCTCTTAGTTTTGGCTGGCTTCACTTTTTTGTTGCCGCTTTTGTCCTCTTCATAGTTGCTGAGCGCCTGGCTCGTTCCTTGGGCCGCTTTGATGCTGTGACATTTATATGCGATAGATGAAACGCCACAGTTACACATTAGTCAGGCGTGGCTGGTTGGCCAAGCATAGGAGGCCAGGCCAACCGATGTTGCCAACGAAAACATTCGCCCTCCTGCAGTAGCTTTTTCAAACACTTCCGAAATAACACTGGCCTACGGCCAAGTCACCCACACCATGAGAGTAGAGTAGCAAAAATGCAAAGACTGACAAAGCCTGTACGTTTAAGGAAAAAAAGGCTGTCACCGACTTCCCGTTCCATAGCGTCAGCTGATGTTTTGCGCTGTCCGACTACGCCGATCACTGGTGTCAGCTCTTGCCGTAGCCGATGAGTGATGACTGCCGTCACACTACTTAGTATAGCACATTTCGTCACCGAGAAATAACACGTGGGGCACCGATCAACTAGTCGAGTTACAGCCCAACCTGCAAATGCACTTCGGAGCTCCTTCAGAATCGCGATCGACTTCCGGCGGAACATCCGGTGTCTTCGAATCTCTCGATTTCGTCGCCAACCTTCTTATCTACTATACGTTTGTGGGCGAATCGCTGCCGGCAGTTTTCTGTTGCTGAAGATATTGCAGCATTTAGTGCTAGGCTAGATAGTGTAACGACGTCTTCACAGCGGGCTAGCGAAAGCCAAACCATGGCAACAAGATGAAAACTCCCTTCAGGCCAGGTACACAGGCCCGCCTGTAGCTGCCGATACCTGACCAATCACAGTAAACTGGCAGTGGGACATATACACTAGATACTTGCTGACTCCTTACAATTCATAGCGTCTTTTCTAAACGCCCGCCGTCGTAACGGTGATTAGCATGGCAGCGGCCCTAGAGAAGATGCCGGTCAGTAACGTTACAGCTTCTTGTTGAAATCGAAAGTCGGTAAGCCTTGTTGAGTTTCAACAAGGGGGTGGGCGGGGTTGAGGAGGCGAGGAAAGTGGATGGCCTCGTTGAGACGGTGATGTCAGGGGTGCCGGGGCACTGACTCTAGTTGGACTTTGGCTTGAATTTTATTCATTTTAGACTCTTAGGAAAGGAAGCCCTAAGAGTCGAAACCCCTCAATAGCCACATCGGCTGCTACAAGCAGCCTCTCTCGTACTCGGCTCACCCCGCAGCCTCTCGATATTCTCAATGTAAGACGCGGGAAACAAGTCAGGGTTTCTAAAGTCTCGGACTGGTACGCCTACTCCCTTCCCAGAAAGACTTGGGAAAGTCCTTTTCGTCGAGGGACATTTTGTTTAGTCTCCAGCTAAACATTCACACAGAATCTCTTGGTCTGGTATAGCTTCAGGACAGTGGTCAGCTTTCTTCAGTTGTACAGGATGACAAGTATTCAATGTGATAATATCAAGAAGCCTTTTTTGACCTGAGTCGTGTTGTAATTGCAATGGCTATGTGCTTCGAAACTTTAAATTTAAAAAAATTGAACACAATATGTAGATTATGTGATTTAATTTAGATTTGTTTCATCTTTAAATAAATATTTAGCGAAGAGTAAGGAGGCTATCAAGTCTCACAAATTCATTTGTCTGCAAGCAACACTTAGGTCGTCGGATAAGCTTCGAGATTAGAGGATTTTTCAATCGCCGATGCTTAATGAATCTCATGACGACTAGCGTCTCTCTGCAGCGTCAGGAACAGTAACGACGTGTTACATAATACGTCAAACCTGGACTATTAACACTTGCTGTGCTGCCACAGAAAAGAAAAAAGGTTATTCCGGCGTTCAATGGCCTGCAGATTTGCCTAGCCATGTGTGCAGGTCACCAAGCTCTCACAGAGGCTTAATGAACATGGCCGACCTTAAGGCCATCTCGCCGTCTGTGTGTGAAGCGGGACCTACGTCGAGGGAAAGGGAAGCAGGAGGCGGGGCTCCTTTCATCGATCGGTTGTTTGGGAAATGGGGCTCACAAAACGGAGCGTCGGACTGGAGCCTCCTCGAATTCAGTGGTCCAGGGCCTTTGTAAAAATGAGACACCGCTTTCTTGCCGGACGAGACGGAAATGGTGGCCATGGGAACCTAGACAAGTGGTTGAAAATGTGTCATTAATACCCACAGAGATGACTAAAAATAAACAAGTAAAAGCCGAAGAACAAGGACGCATATTCACGATGATCATATCCAGGAGAATAACTTAACTCGTTGCACGCTTTACCGTACTTAACTTTTTCATCGTATATTACCATAGTCGTACGTTTTGCAGCTGCAAGGGCCTTAGTAACCAATAAGGTACTTGTGCAAATATCAAATACAATTGTTACACAACGTTATTGCTTTACATATCGTTACTATGTGCTTCTACTATTTACATTTGCATTTAATGCTTTATTTACTACATCAAAAAAAAAAAAACTAGGTTATCAGACATATTCGGCTAACATTGGGTTATGTAGGGTGGAATTAAATGGGTTAGTAGCAAGGAAACATTGCACACAGGTCAGAGATTGAGTGTGGTCCGCGTTGTTCTTTCCTCTGAACAAATTGCCTCGGTTGATTATATGTTAAGAAAAACAAAGCACATTATTATTATGTTGTTGTTAAAGATCTGTCGCTGTGATTGCCCTCGAAAAAAATTGTGACGACGTTATCGGCACAAAGCAATAAAACTCATATTTACAGTACATTACGAACAATCACAGTTCTAAAGCAGAGCTATGCATAATGCACATAGATTTCAGTTGGATTTCGAGAACGGTGACCACTAACCTGTTGCTGGTTCTACTCGCTCCGTAAACTAAATGCAGCTCGTGCAGAGATGCTGGAACTTGAAGCGTTTGAAAGCCGGCTTTACATGGATATATGCTCGACAATTTGTTTGCTTTGGCAGTAAATAATTATATCCTCCAGAGTCAATGTGAAGAAAACTGAATGCCGTAGTCGAAGGTTTGACGATCTTTTTTTCACACGAAGCAGCTAGTAGATCGATCGTATAGCCCCACCTCTGGGGCATATAACCTTATTTAGCGGGCCACCAACAACAACGCGGTGTTTTCAACTGACACTTTCCGCAAAATGAATGGTCTATAATGAATCCATTTAGGCCATATAATAGATGGTTTTTTTCCCTCCTTTTACACCGGTCGTCTTTAATAACAACACTAAGTTTTTACGCTGATGCTAGTAAAACCTTTTCAATGCAATGTTAAAAAATCGAGAAAATTGGTCGTCCCTCTCGATACTATACGAACATTCGAATTCAGACGACAACAAATAATGGACGGCTTTGCCCTTACAAAATTTACTCTCAAAGCGCTGTTTTAATAATAGATCAAATATGACACTGCGAAGAAATCCAAGACAAGCCGTAAACTTCATTCTGTATGCACCGTAAACAGTTTCTCATACCGAAAGCCTTTGTTCGCAGGTAAATATTGCTTTCTATCGAGAGCTCCCATTTAGGCGAACTACAGATTGAGGTCTCTCTACGTAGCCCTGCTAGCTAACATGTCTTCATTTGAAAAAATCCTGACGCTGCTATTGAACACATATCGCCAGATTCTCGTTGTAACAGCAGCTTTAAGAGAAGCAAGTTTTTGTGGACCATGAATGAGGCTCGTTATAAATCCATGCCGGAGGTAACATACAGTGATTTTTGAAGTCAACTAAGACTTTTAAAGCAGCTACACCATCCTAGTCACATCGTCAAAAACCTGAACAAAGTAAGAACAGGTCACAGGCTTACGTCGAAATATTTTATACACAAAAAAAGAAATGACCTCATCACATCCGAAATAGAACAATAATGGCTTATCGTTAACCGATAGAGTAATGTATTAATATAAATAGTCTGTTACTCTGAAGCTAAAACCTTCAAAGGAGTAGAGGTAGGCGTTGTTAATATCAGAGGGTCTTTGAAACAGCAGAAAAAACTAGATCCACCGAGTACCTTCGTTAGAAATCCCTGCTAGACTCTAGATTCTAATTCATTGATGTGTCATGTAACCCAGTTCGAATACTCGTATGAGGGTCAATAGGCTTGATGGTAAATAAATCACTAAATACTTTAAGAAATTTTGTTCGTAATGTATAAAGTTTGCTGTTAGTATATCCGCTATCCTTCTGAACAGACGAAACAAATCCGAAATACATTGTTGAAGTTCTGAGTAGACTTGGACCTTGCCCAGTTCGAAGGCGGTACAGAAGTTCGTCAACTAGGTCAGGTAACTATTAAATAGAACTTCAATAATAACTGAAATGAATAAAATAGAAAGCACTGTAATCTGGAGATCCCGTGCTTGCTTGTTTATTAACTGACCAAAGCTCTAACAAAATCTTATCGAAAGAAAGATACATCTGCGATCAGCAATATTGCAGCCTCCAACCAGAATCAATTAAATTTAGTAAATATTGTTATTAAGTAAATAAAATGTAAACACATCATAAAACACGAGAAGTTGTCCGCAGTAGACTTCGTAGCCTGCGTCGCGTTAAGGCAAGGGAGCGTCTCGACAAACGGCATAGGGTTCACTTGATGTCAAACGGCAGCAGGGTTTACGCAGAGAGATCACATACATCATTTAGAAAATGGTATCCTGTTAAATGACTAAAAATGTCCGCATGAGAGGCATTCTGGCAAGAACGAGGCGGATTTTTGCCTTTTTTATATTACAGAGGAGTCACCTTTGAAATACAACAGATAGCAGGCGCAGCGTTCAGGATCGAAAGCACAGGGGCTGCCAGTAAAACTGTCATTATTCAGTTTAAAGAAATCGGTATATTTGTTGACTTTATTTCGCATAAGGTTGGCTACATAGACTTTTATTTTCATTTTTTCCTCTTTTGTTCGCGGTAATAATGCCACAGCTTTAAGGGAGGACTGTCTCAAGTGCAGAGGACGGCTAACAAAAGCAGACTGTTAAATCAATCGATTCTTTTGTTTTGAATCAGCGATTTTAGATTATGTTCTTGTTACCGCGTCTACCATTACTGTCTTTGGCAAACTCATTTTGATCAGCTTGTGATACTGCGTTTGCACTCCCCAAAACGTCAACGAACGAAACGATGAACTTAAAAACCTAACATTACTGTTATTTTTTTTTCACCAAAAACCGTATCACAAAAACATACGAGAGGAATGTGCCTATATACCTGATTACAGAGAGCACATTTTCAAAGAAAAATTCTTACCATGCGGATTGTTGTCGTCCGCTATTGCATGGCCACTACCAAAAGGGGTCGTACCTGCATGCTCATGTTGTCTTGTTTGAGCCGTGGCCACATCTTCCTCCTCGTCTTCGTGTTCTTCATCGTCGTCTCCGTCAGCCCCTCGAGACCACTGAAGGTTCGTCATGTCCGCGTCCACCGGACGCCTTCGTCCTTCGCCTGCGCCACAAACGGCCCTGACTTGCAACTAATCAAACCACCTTGGATGCAACGCGTTATTGCAACGCTTCTTCAACGACTCGTATAAACTTGTGAAAATTATACCCAGACGATGACGAAAAGGCTTTGTACCTCGTTCGTAGAGATTACTTCTTAAACTAAACCCTTACTTTGTAGAACTCGATTTTGTCCGAACTTTTCGATGTATGGTAATTCGACAGAGATGATTGTGTCAGTTAGATTATCGGGGGGTATTCACTTTAGCAGCTGCTTTCAAACACTATATCACCTTTCATGAATTAACGGAATTTCGCCTACAGCCAACATCGGCAAATTATTGCCAGCCACGTTAGGTCTTCGGTAACAAAGCCAGATGAATCGGACGTGTCTCCTGAAATAAATGCAAAACAAAGGAATCCTTATTGCATACGCGTATTTGAAGAGTGGCGACAAATGTTACTGAAACCCCATTCCAGACGCACATGGATTTGTTTCCATACTCGATATAGCAGCGTGTTCTCAGCGTACACTCGGACATCATACCCCATTATTTAATGAAAAGCACTTTGAATAAAACAAGTTTTGACGATTTCCTTACTGAATAGAGCGCTCATACTTCGAACGGTTTATTTACAGTCATTCGCTCAGGGAATCTAACGTTTCTCATTTTAGTCGGGGGGCGGCATCGGTATCGAAGTGTTGAAGTTCTTCAGTAATTAAATTTTTGAAGAAGCGCGCCTACTTAACTATATGATGCTGCAGAGGCTCCTCACTAAGCCCTCGGCCCTGCTGATTCGAGCCTGGCACGCGGTGTTTTGTGTCCAAAATGAAACATCATTATTTTTACTTAGACACGCCTTTATGACTGGACAATTTTTTTAATCGTCTTTTACCTAGAACACAGCAATCATTATCATTATACTTCATCCAAAACTAGGTAAAGTTACAAGTGAAGCGAGCACGTTAACGAATGGCCGCATACAAGACGTAACCTTTAAAATTACTATGCCATAGAGATCATCAGCATCGATTCTGTCTAATGGCTGATGTAGCATCTTTTCCATCTGCTCGGTACTCCATATTCAGGTGAAGAGCTTTGCAACAACGAACATCAAGGCCATGTGGTTGAGAACTGAAGTATCCGCTCTCTCATGGCCTGCAACATTAATTAAAGGACAGGCATTTGCGGCAGACAGATATTGGTTTCGTGTAGGCATGAACGTGTAGAACGTTTTTGCTACCCCACAAAGTAATGGTAATCCGGTGGCGATCTCCAAAGCAGATGAGAGTCGAGTTTAAGTAAACAGCTTTTCCGAGATAAGCCCATTCTTACGACTATGCATCTAAATGACTGAACGTATTGCCTCAGCCAGTAAATTAAATATTCGTTAAACATCTGTGTATGTAAACTGTATCTGTATAGAGTATATATATCTATTTCATTTAATCTGTTTGTTCTTATTTTCACTAGGAATCTATGAAATAACAGTCTACGGGGTGCAAAGAACAATCTGAATTCTACCCAATAAATTGCCAGATAACTGGATTTAGTTGGTTAGCCGGTATGCCATTTCAAAAACATTTGTATGAAGATTCTATGGCAACACATCTGACCCAAGAAAATTGGCCGTAGCAAAAGGAAAGTTGTTCACTCTCTAAAGAAAACGTTAGAATATTTAATAGACGATGGAGTTCCAGGTAATCTCATCAACCTGGGCCATTTTTAGAATATTCAGGTATAGGTGTATTTAAGTATGTACGCTCTATCCGAATGCACCTAGATCCTTAGTGTAGTTAAAATGTATATTAAAGAAAAATTATTTTTAAGCTAATTTTGTATTCAGAACACTGGCGCTTGATTGTTTACGCGAATATCCCGTTTATTGTCAAATGGTTCGATACGCATTTATTAAGCTAATAACACTGAATAAAATATTTATTTTTTTTTTGCTTCATTATACAATAGAGGTGAGATGTAGGACCGTTACCTCTTAAAATTTAAACCTCAAACAAAATATATGGCTGACTTGAAGCTATTTACCCTCGAGCGCACTGCTCGATATTGTCATCTAAAGCTCTGAGGCACTCGAAACTGCCTCAGTTCCTAATATCAATTTGGAGTGAAACTGGGTTTTTTCGCCGTGAATATTCTTGCATTTCATAGTTTTAGAGACTTATCCCACATACAAAACATAATATCATTACGAAGATATTGGCAGTGTGAAGTTTTTTGCCCATCTCGAAAAATGTCGTATATCCTATACCTCGTTATTGTGCTTGAGGTGTCTTTGCGCAGCGTCTGATATATTGATTTAATTGACCGAAATTTCAATGAAGTGGGTCATGTTCTACTGCTCTCAACAGGCCTTGATGAAAGTTGGCCGCAGCTGTAAAATTATAATTGCATGATTAGTGTTTAAAGAAAAACTAGATAAAATGCTTTTATATGATCTTAATTTCATCCAAAAAGAGCATCGCTTCACATTGAACCAATCAGGTTCCTTAAAGCTATTCAATTTCCTGAGTATGAACAACCTACCCTAGGGGATTGTATAAACAATACACAGTTGTAAATTTGATTCCAGTGTTTTGTTTTTTTTTTTTATTTATCCGCCGCAAATCTATTCTCTGCTGTTTAATCGGACATAGGCCATTCAACACTGAGAACTATTGAGCTATCGCAAACAAGAACGATACCAAACCCTTTTAGAAAGATCATTTTCCAAGTATATTTTCAAGGATACCCTTCCGAGTAATCCCTAAAAAGGCAATTTCAATGTTGATGTTTTTTTCGTCTTATTTGCAGATGTAGTTTCTTATATACGGGTATAAAAATGCATCTAAAATATACCCGAAAGCTAATGCCGAAGACACATGTGCCAAAGATTCTCTAGGCTTATAACTACTGAAAATAGATATAATCAGCTTAGGCCTTTTGATACGTCCTCGAAGTGAGACAAGTAATACAGTAATGATTAGTAAAAGGGTTATTGCATTTTTTCCATTCACTTTTACCCTGGTCTATAAACATTGACTGCGTGGAGTCCAAATTAAAGTCCCATTCCTTTGAGAAGCTCGTGTGCCGGTAAATCTAGATCGCATTAGGGATTACTCAAATAAGGGCCTGCATTTCCCTTTAACGAACTTCGTTCTCGATCTAAACTCGTGAGGCAGGCCACTTTATGTGGGTAAATTTTCAATGTTCGAGTGTTCTTTTATCCACTGCCAGAGTCTTTTTGAATTCGTAGCAGTTCACTGATTCAAAAACCATTTTATAAGTGCCTGATCTGTTTTGGAAAGATGTCCATTCTCAGCTATCCTGGATGTGATACATCCCTGTCAGAATTATGCGGGCCTTAGAGATAACCGATCAAAAAAAGACAGACGGCCCTTTCCTCTTAATTTCTCGTTCGAAAACTCAACTTTCGGCCGAGTAAATGTCAACTTAACAAAAACAAAACCTTGCTAATCAACAGTCTAATCTGCTAAACAACAGTCGCAAGAGACTCTGAAATGTCTACGATCGTATAAATATATAGCAATGACAACCAACTACGCGGAAATATTTGCCCATCTTTACGCTGCGGAAAGATGGCGTCTTCCACCGGAAAATATGTACAGTAAAATATAGCTTCCTATCCAGCGAAAGAACACTATCCAACGATTTCATGTCTTTATTCTATGTCGAGCCCAACGTATAACTTTACCGTCAAGAGTTCGGTATCGTGGATACATTCGGAAACAACACACGAGATAATCTACAACTCCGAATTATGAACTGCTAGTGTCTATACTCCGTTTTGAACTTAGACCATTATATGTCCTTAAGCTTAGCAAGTAAATACGTTATCACTGCACAACGACGGGGACGCTCGTTTTGTAGTTGTGTCGACTTTTCTCTATTTTTATGTCTGTAATCGTAACTGATGGCAGAGAGCTGACGTGGGGCAAATAGAACTATAGTTCCTTCCAAGCATAAGTGGCGACCCATATTAGAGATGACTTTATATAATTGTGATGCGCACGGCCAACAAGTACTTCCTTTCCTAGTCTTCACATCAATAACAATTGTATCGTAGTTGTTTTCATTAAGTCTGTTATTAAATTGTATGACTCCGGTGGGCATTTTCTATGCGGATTCTTCCTACTTGTATCCACAGAACAGGTCGTATTGATCTTCTCTGATTGTCTATTGTAGCACGTGCAAAGTTACTGAAGCACAACATGGCGCCAAAGTGCGTGGACACAGAGAAACAGTTTTGTCTTGCTTCATATTCGGGGTTATCGACTTTACTGGGTTGACAGACTTGGGCTAGACTTCATACAACTTGATGCAAAATACCGTAAAACAAAAATCAGTTTACTCACTGGAACGTAACAGTTCTCGCACACGCATTAATTAATATACGGATAATTAAAAAAATATCTTGGAGCCGGCTCGAAACTTTGTTTCTCCTTATGCTTTCAACTCTACGAGATAATTTACCCGAATAATATTGCTGGGATAGACCCCGTTTTACACTAGAACGGGTACACAGTTGATAAACTTCTGCTGGTTAAAAAGCAGCTGACAATACGATTTCGCTTTGTGGCACAGAGTTAAACTTTTAACGAATAGAAAGCCCCACGTCCCGTTAGAACATATCTAACAAATGAAAGCTGCTGGCCTCTAGTTCAGGCCACTATTGAAAGTCTCCAACTAAGCACTTGAACGTTTAAGTCTCGCTACCGGTAAATGTTCATTGTCAACGTCACACGGGTGTAAAATAGAGCATGAAGGGTTTCTTATAGCTCACCATCTGCTTATTCAGGGCCTCCTTTTTGCGCTCAGGAACTCCATCATATATCTTGTTTTACAAGTTTCCTGTACACACTCCCACACACACGCACATAATTCTTCTGGTTTTACACTACGTTACGTCTATTGTTATGCCGTCCTAAGCTACTAGCTATAATGCACCGATTTCAATAACCCTTCGCGCATTCATAAAGGCTAGCTAGATGCTCGCTTGTAGACGGTTCAACACCGACCAATGTTCACGTAAAGTCCGTCGTATTTCTTTTTCAACTCCACCTGTCACTTATTACAATTACATAGTGGTTCTCTCTCTTCCAGCTAAAACTAACTAGTTGTGGCAAAAGCGTTTCAGACGACAGCGATACACATCCTAGGGGCGCTTCTTTGCTTCGATCCGCCTTAGTCTACGTGCCTTCTACGTGTTGCTTTCGAGGTTGGTTCGTTCTGCAGCCTTCTGTGCCGAACAGGCCACGCAGTCCTCGTTTGCAGCCAGCGCCCTTACACAGCTTCTTCCTTCCCGCGCTGTGACTTACACCCCGCGCTGGGCGCTCTGAGCTTCACTTTGATCCCTTTTCTCCACACAGCCGCCTTCTTCAAGCGCAAACCTTCGTCCGTAGTCGTCTTTCTGCTCGGAACCTGCAGTGGCGATGGTAGCGATGCTGCCGCATCCTCCGCTCGTGCGCTGTCCTCATCGCAAGCATCGCTGCAACCCGCTAGCCCGGCTAGCGCCGCCTCCAGGGGGTGGAGCCAGGCCCTAACTCCCGCCCAGGAAGCATCTTTTTTATGCTCGAACGCGCGGCCCGCTAGAGAGTAGACGGATGCCGCACACTCGGGGCCGACTGAGATCCGGACAGGCATCCTACGGTCTAGGATGGGAGGCACGACAGCATCGGGGTGGGTGTTGGGAATATAGTGAACAATAGCGAGTGAGAAAAGGATCGAGCCAAGACGAAACGGACAGTCAGAGAGATAAGATACGAGAGTGCGCGGTTCAGGAAGAGGGTAATACGCCAGAGGGTGCTAGTAGATGTAGATGCCCCACTGTGTCGTTGTGCACGCTGAGTGAATGTGTGCCGGTGCGCCAATGTATCTGCGGCCTGAACCACTAGCCCTAACTCTGTAGCGCGCGGCGCGCCTGGCTCTCGAAAGCCCATACCACTACCACGGGTGTTCTAACTGGATCTATGGGTAAATATGGTGTGTATGGAAGCTCAGGCTTGAGCTCTCGCTCAGTACAATGAGGGTGTGGCATGCAAAGAGCAGAGGAACTGCAGCGCAACGAACAAAGAAGAAGCAGTTACCCGTCTCACCCTTCAAGGTAGATACATAGACGCATGGCCAAATAAGTACTGGGAAACGACGGGAGATGTCATGGCGGCAGCAGACAGTCAGTCGGAGGTTAGGAGCATCGGCGCTTCGGACATACTTCGGACCTACTTCTGTTGGGCTCTTTGTCAAACCGAGGAAAGAGAGAGCGACAGCGCCTCATAACGAACAACGGTACGGGAAAAAGAGCAAAAATCATGCAGGACGCAAAAAACACCATCGACGTGAATACTCGGGGGTATGAAAGCAAAAAACGTTGTGACATTGAGAGCGACCATATCCTAGGCGAAATAAAGTGGAGGCGTAGCATGTGGTGCAGTTGGAATACAGCGTGTGTGAATTTAACGAAGTAACGAGGAAGCGTATTACTCGACAGATTTGCCTCTAGGAGCTAGGAAGGGCATAGAAATATTCAACTTATGCTTAGTAACTTAATTGATAGACAACACTTGAATTCAGTTAACTTTTATTCAATCATTTAAAAACCAATCGAAATCCTTCCCATTCCAACAAATGTCGGTTTGAATGACGTGGTTCGAAAGCAAACATACAATCATGCGAAGCAGATCAAGTTCATGTAACCTTCTTTGACCATTTCATAAAGTTCCAGTTCTCATTACGGCCGTACAGAAGGTTCTTTCGTACCTATCTAGGCTGTAGAGATTTACATTGTACCTATTGATACATTCGTAGACATACCATTCGTTGCTTGCGAATTTATCGAGGTAATTGCAGATATGTTACTGTTAACTGAATGTATTGTCTAAATGAATCTGATGGCCTCTCGTTTCTCACATGCTCGAAAAAACGCCTTCACGAAGATTCGAAAATGATGCCTAAGTTCGGCAATATTTATCCGGTAGATACCGAAATATTTATGGATAGAAGATAAAATGTACATTCTATGCGAAAATTTAGTAGACATTTACAGAGACAAAATAGACAAGGTCAATGCTTTCTGTTAGGTCACGAGCTTCAAACTTTTTATTGAACAGATGCTACAAAGCAAAATCCACTATTAATCACACTTTTTTCTATTTATTTATTTTTGTTAATTTTCTAAGTCGAAAATAGCAGAAGCTGTAAAATATTTCATTACATAATATGTAGATTTGGCCTACGGTTGATTCCTGTTTTCATCTCGTTTTCCTCGTTTCACACAGGCATCCAACAAGACCTTTATCTTCTGAAGAAATCAGTTCCCGAGGGGTAGACCACCTCTCCACGGTATACGATAAACGTCTGAAGTTTAGCTCAAACCTAATTTTCATTTCGTCACTTTCTATTTCCCTGAATGGACCCAAAATCAAGATAGGACCGTGCCTCTTTACTGTGTGTATATTTCTGTAACCTACTAAGGACTTGTGCAGCCGTGACCTCCTGGTGCTCCAAAGCATTGTTTCTCGTTTGTAGTCGAAAAAAGTGTGTAATATTTGCTACCGATTCTCTAGATGAAATGAACGTCCTTGCGGTTAAATTGGTCAATTAATCATTGTGTACCAGACGTCCCTAAAAAAACATGACTTAGTCTTTCTACAACTGGCTTTCAAAGATAAGCTATCTTTTTGCCTTTAACCAAAGTGTTATTTTGAATTTATCCGGCCCTGCTAAAACGCGATAGTGCAGGGTCTTTCTAAGTTAAACACTATAGTTTGAAAGTCGATGAACGAAGGCTGATTCTATTCGGCCTTAATGTAAATACGACCGTATGGATATGACCCTTATTGCTGTGGCCATCAAACGGCCTGTGACAACCCAGATGACTTAAACACCAATCGCCGAAGCATATCGACATACAAAAAGTAATTCCGATAAATCCACTGAACCTTATTTGTGCGAACCAGAAGTGCACGCTGCTGAATTTCGAATAAAGAAAATAAGTGTTAAATATTTGTTAGTACCAGTTGTCCCATTCCTTTCAGAAATGCCACCAACTCCGAAAAAACATGGCGCCTTAAGATCAACGTTTTCTATTGCAAAACAAACATTTGCTAGATGGTACGACCAGTATCATTATACGAAAAGAGACATATCGTTTCATAAATCCATTTTGTTCAAAAAATGCAGCAAACTACAAATATATATGTGAGCATGCTGAAAAAATAGGTTTCCAAGAAGCTTGTTGCTATGAGAAAATGGCGGCTTTTCATTGAGCGGACGCAGTTTCGACTGCAAACGGACATATCCCTATGGTTTTTTCAATACGATACACGCACAAACATTACAGAAATTAAATTCATTATAAATTATTATTAATTTCCCATTATAAATATGTACAGGTGCGGCACTTAAATTGAGACTCTGTTATGCTTTGCTTCGAAACTTGTATCTAAGTAGAAATATAATTCTGCACATATGTGGAACATGTAATTTAACATAACCACCATCTATTTTTTTAATCCGCAAATAACTCTTGCGTTTGACAGCTCGTTAACATGGCTTAATACGGTGTAGCATGAAAAGTTCCGTTGGAACTACTCAGCTGCTTAGTTCCAAGCTAGAACTGAATTTTGGGTTGATAGCAGACTCGAAGTTCTAAAAGTGCCACAGCTTATAACACAAACAAGAACAACAAGCAATGAAGTTCAAAGGATGCAAAAAGTAACTGACCATTGGAGCTTAGCTGGACTATTCAACTGACAACTGATTTCTACCTACTCTATAAACGACGCACCGTGTTTTGCTACGCTGAATTTGTTTTGTTCAGAGAAAACTGGCTCTTAGTAACAATGGCGGATAACGCTGTAAACCTCCTAGCAGAGTATGGACGTCAATGCTTTCTTTTTATATAGATCATATATACCAACTAATATAAATTAATAAGAATTTTTCAACGGATTACTCTTTTCAATCGTACGTATTTGACACTTCCCAGTCACGCATACACGTAATAAGGTATCGTGTAGAAGTTGTACCGCATGCCACGCTAGACGAACGACTAGTGCGTGAAAAAACGCGAAAGAGTAGTCTTTATATCTAAATTGAATGCCGCACAACCCGTAATCGCCTGGAGTGTCAAAAATGATAGGTTTTTCAAACCAGACTGATATTGTATTAGCTAGTAGACCCCGTGAATGTGCAGCTTTCAGCTGGAGGCATATCCGCGGTTGAGAACAAACATTGTATTGCTAACCTTAATTCTGCTCATGTGGGCGTGCTGATCCATGCTTTTACTAACTTTATAGCACTTGTGGCAATTTATCCCACAAGATCATACTTACCACATAACTTCACTTACGGTCATTGATGTTCCATACCAGAAAGCTACGAAGCACTTCAAACGAGTGGCTGGCAGGAAAAGCAGGATTTTTTGATCTTTTGAGTATCATCGTATTGTGCCTGTTCCTAGCTCATAAACAATAATGACTATTCTACGTGCATTACAAGGCTCCGACGTCATCTATCCAGTCTAAAAATCCTTTACAGGACGAGCTCTCATCATAATACCCATACATTCATCAGATCTAAGATACAGGTCAGGCCACAAATCGTCCTGCAGCGCCCTCGTAATAAGAATCTGTTGTAACTACTATCAACGGTGTCGCAACAAAATATCGCAATGACATTACCTGAATATCAACAGAAACGTTAATAGATCACATGCGTTGACAAGTCCTCAACGAATCATGAACACTTCAAATGAAGTTTTAGCCCAATGAACACTGAGCATAGACAGGATAACAGTAATTGTGGAAAAAAACTCTGCTGGCCTATGGGAATATTTTTTATGGTATCAAGATAATGATATTGAAAGCCATGATCTCCTTACGTATGAAGACCTGGGACAAAAAATAATAATAAATTCGAACACCGCGACCACCCTATTACATTGCGTATGTCTGAAAGTAATAATGTAAGGCTAACTAAAACAAGACTTATGTTACAAAAAGTATCCCTTACTTCGTAAGCTTTCGCAGATCATGCTTGCGTGCAGTTTTAATTGGGTTAGCTGATCAGCGCTGTTACTCGAATCTGAGAAACTCGAGTCTCGTTTATCGTCGAGCGCCTTGAGATGGTTCCTAGAACGAGCTGCGGCCAGATGGGCATAGTAGACAGGCGCAGGGATGGAGACAGATTTAGAGCAACGCCCATATGTATGGCAAAGATTGTACGACACAGCCTGAAGTTCATCAGGTGACATATTGACGTCATCGTGAATCACTTGATAGTGTGCGGGTCGCGAGGTGCCTTGAAGGCCGGCATGCGAGCAGAGGAAAAAGTCAAAGTTCGTGGGATGGGT